AGCTTTGCAATAAACCTCATTCATATGGAATGATGTTTTTTAGCTCTAGGTGTAATCAAGTTATGGCAAAATCATAAAAATCTGAAAGTTAAAAGGATAGTTCACCCAAAAATTAAGAAAAAAATTGTCATCAGTTACTCACCCTCATACCGTTCCAAACCTGTGAGACTTTTGTTTATCTTCTAAACACAAATGAGGATATTTTAAATCTGAGAGATTTATGTCCCTCCATGACAGTTCACGCAACTACAGTACCACTTTGTCGCTTCAAAAAGTTCATAAAGAGATCGTAAAAGTAATCCATATGAATTAAGTGATTTAGTCCAAATTTTATGAAGAGATTTGATTGCTTTATATGATGAACAGATTGAATTTAGGCTTTTATTCACATATATGAAGGGACAGAAATCTCTCAGATTTCAAACAAATATCTTCATTTGTTTTTGATGAACGAAAGTCTTAAGGGTTATGGAATAACATGAGTGTGAGTAAATGATGACAGAATGTTTTTGATTAGTGGTTATTAAGCTGAAATAGGACTGTTGTCTAAAGCTGTATTGTCTAAATCCCAATGAAAATATGTAATTCACTTCTGTTTAGACTGTAGGCAAGAGGCTGAGATTGCATCAATAGAGTGATTTGAGTTGCTGAAGGAAATTAGTAAAAATGAAGGAGCATGAATAACCGAAGTGTCACCTCAGCCATTCCTCTGTGGCAGAGTCTCTAATGCCTGTCATCTCTCGCTTTTCACAATCAGATCAGTGCAGCCAGAAGAAATAACAATCTAATGAAGCAGAAATTAGAAGAAGAAGAAAAAGTTTATGTGAGCACCTGCTTAACCCTGTGTGTTCAGTGGAAAACATTTTATTTTAAAGGCGTTTCACCGCACTCACGATAAACAAGGTGCCAGACAGACACAACTAAACAACTCAGAAAATAAATAAACTGTCTGCACACTTGAATCCTTTAAAGCAATTTTAATCGCCAAGCTTTCGGTCACAAGACCATCCTCAGGGCATACAAAAACTAAATGTCACATTCCATTTAACTGTGTTCAACACACATCAGGACAATCAACAATGATAACCCACACCTGCAGAGGCCAGGTATGACCAGTTGTAGTCCAATAGTGGGAGTTGTAGTTTTTAGGTGATCAACACTAACTCCACATAGTGAAAAAACAAAATGGAACAAAGACAAAGAAAAATGAAAAACCACACTACAAGAAACCGACATAAGTATACATATACAAAAAATATACAAAAAATATATATAGAGGCGCATAGAGCTTGGCGATTAAAATTGCTTTAAAGGATTCAAGTGTGCAGACAGTTTATTTATTTTCTGATTTATTTTCAGTGGAAAACATAAAATGGTGATTTTGATTCAGTTAATCTTCAACTTTGGGCACTTTTATGTCCTAGGGGTTCATTTTCATTAAACATATCAAACCACTCTTAAAGGTGCAGTGTGTGATTTTTAGCGACATCTAGCGGTTCGGTTGCGAGTTTGCACTAAGGGCTCAGCCCACTGCTCACCCCTCCCTTTCGAAGAAGCTATGGTGGCTAAAACGGGACAAACATATCGTCGTCTGAGACAGCAGAGAATAGAGTAAGCCAAGAGTGTGTAACATTGTACCACAGTCCATTATAAACCACATCATGGATAAAGTTTACAAAGCCATAGTCAGGTGAGGATCAAGGGTCTTAATATATAATATAATAATAATAGTAATCAGCTGATTGTCTCACAAACGTAACCAGCACATTTCTCCACACATAGCAAACCCATAATACAGCGAGGGAGAAGAACCACATTAAACTGCAACTATATATGTTTTCTAACAGGGTAGTAAAAGTTTAGCTGGCTAAATATGAGCTGTTACTGTGGCTGAGGTGGTTAAAGCGTAAAGCCTTGTTTAAACTCGACGCGTCCGCATGATATAAGCCCAAAGGTGCGCTCGGCAAAAATGACATGATTGTAACAGCGCGCGCGCCTCCGCATCCACTAGACACCATTTACTACACACAATATTTTTCTCTGATTTTGAAAACTCTTCGCGATTGACTTAAAATGCTTCCAAGATCGACTTGTCGACCGCGATCGACGGGTTGGTGATTCCTGTAACTTTACTGTTTTACCATCAATGACAAGAGTATCAGCTGTCTCAAGAACTTAACCAGCACATTTATCCACACATAGCAAAGCCATAACACAGCGAGGGAGAAGAACTAAGTTACATGAAACAGTCCAACATATTTTACACCACTGACAAGGGAAAAGTCACTACTCACGGTGTTTATGGCTAGCTTCTAGCTTTCTGCTGCTTCTCTTTCAAGGTAGTAAAGAAACGCGGTCTGAACGCTGTGTGTTCGTGTTCGGCTACGGTAGAAACATGACGTCACAATATGTCGACCTTCATAGGGGGTGCCCGCGGTTATGTAGATATAAATGTCTTATTCTAAGGTAATAAAAACATTACGGTTTATTAAGTAAGTTCTTTATACACCACTGAAAAGATAGTTATGGATGTCATATTGCATTTCTGTTAATAGATACTCAAAATTTTTACACATTGCACCTTTAACAAATGAACTCTTTTTATTTTCGCTATGTGAAGGTCACAATAAAATTGCCTTTATTTATCTTTGCTATACATACAGTATATACATACACACTGGCCACTTTATTCGGGACACCTGTTCAACTGTCCGTTAACGCAAATATCTAATCAGCCAATCACATGGCAGCAACTCATGGTAGACATGGTTAAGACGATCTGCTGAAGTTCAGACTGCATCAGAATGGGGGGGAAAAGGTGATACAGAACGTGGCATGATTGTTGGTGCCAGACGGGCTGGTCTGAGTATTTCAGATGAGATCTACTACCTAACCCTAACTGCTGATCTACTACTGGGATTTTCACGCACAACTATCTCATACGGTTTACAGAGAATGGCCCGAAAAAGAGACAATATCCAGCAAGCAGCAGTTCTGTGATCGAAAATGTTGTTGATACCAAAGGTCAAAGGAGAATAGCCAGACTGGTTTGAGCTGATAGAAAGGCAACAGTAACTCAAATAACCACTCGTTATAACCGCGGTCTGCAGAAGAGCATCTCTGAACACACAACACATCAAACCTTGAAGCAGATGGGCTACAGCAGCAGAAAACCTCACCGGGTGCCTTTCCTGCTAAGAACAGGAAATTCACATGGGCTCACCAAAATGGGACAATAGAAGATTGGAAAAACATTGCCTGGTCCAATGAGCCCTACAGCCTACATGTATTGTTGCTAAGTATTATCACAGTTTATCCATCTTCTGACGGCTACTTCCAGCAGGATAACGCGCCATTTGATAAAGGTCAAATAATCTCAAACTGTGTTTTTTTTTAACATAAAAATGAGTTCACTTTACTCAAATGGCTTCCACAGTTACCAGATCTCAATCTAATAGAGCACCTTTGGGATGTGGTTGAACGGGAGATTCACATCATGGATGTGCAGCCCACAAATCTGCAGCAACTGCATGGTGCTGTCATGTCAATGTGGACCAAAATCTCTGAGGAATGTTTCAAATACCTCATTGAATCTATGCCATGAAGAATTAAGGCAGTTCTGAAGGCAAAGGAAGCCTTCATGCGCTGCATGGGTATGTCTACATATTATTTGTTGAATTTTGACTCAACTGCGTAGTGTATTCTTATCAAAATATATTTCACAGTGCATATTCTTTGGTGTGTACCACTCAAAGAGGTGAAATAATATAATTTATATTTCTTGCAGTTCAATTAGCCTTGCTTTTAAATTAATAAGTAAAAATAAAAAGTATTGTACATCATAAGAATATCTTAATACTTAACATAATACCTAACATAGAAGTACATAATACTTATTTAAGATTTTGTTAATCTCATAATATAATATCTTTATTTTAGTCAATTTAACTAGCAGGCGCCAGGCTGTCAAAATCATTTAACTTGATTTTATGGGTTTCAACTCGATTGTCATCAGTTGTTAAGTGTAATATCATCAGTGATGTTAAAAAAAATATGCAGTGAACTCATTACTGCTGTCACTTTATTTTTATTTAAAAATCTAAGGCCGCAATTAGTCATTTTCAATGGGTTGACATTATTTACAGTGTAGTTGGACCAAGAATATTGTATTTTTTATTTATTATTGCGTTATATATTTCATTGTTTGTTGTGTATTATATGAAACATGAAATACATGTATATAAATACATGTAATATCATTGTTTTATACATGCATGTGTGTATATCTTTTTATATCTCTGTTTTTCCTTACAGATACAAAATCACCCATAACACTGATTCCTCTTGGCAGTTGATTTGCATGGAGTTAATACGGCTGTTTACTTAGTGCTCTGAACATATTAAAATCCCCATATATCACAGGCAGCGAATATGTAAACACAGTTAACTACAAACGGCCACATATAGTTACAGTCATCATAAAACAGAAATTGGAGTAATGAATCTTCCACATAGTTGCTCAACAGAAGCATCATTAAAGTCTCACAAATGGTACATATGTACACAAACACAATATTCCCTCTGTTCACACAACATATGCACACAGGGCTCTGATCTCTGAGGACAGACTCAGAAGAGGAGGTGGCACTGAGGGACACATCGACCTGAGAAAAACAAGCCCAATGGTCATAATGAGAGGCTATTCATTACAGGGCGCAGGGATTGATGTGGGGTGGGGGCACGGAGAGCAAAAAAGGGGCTGAAGGAGGCAGATGCTCAGCGCTTTATAATCACAGCCTCCCTTCTGCACCGCTGGACTCATTTTGTTGCATTTCATTTGTGAATCTTGAGATTAAATGTGATGCAATAACGCTGTCTTTTGTATACCTGGGGGCGTTAGTGAATCATTAAGCACGGCACACACACACACACACGTTTGCATGATACACCCACATAAATACACAAACAAAACTGTCTCACACACACACATTCTTGCACACGCACTTGAGGAACAATAAGAATCAGCAGCAGGAGAAACTTGCATTTGGAGGGGGTGTGTTCAGATCCCGCTGGAGGAGCCAGTAACACCGAGGATGTGTCAGGGAGCATGACTGCTGCCGGAAAGGGGCATGACATGATCTGTCAGAAGGCAGTGTCTCTCATAGTTGACCTCTGTATGCAGGACAGCCCGCGGCTGGACCTCGACACCTGTGAGGAGTTCCTCTTTCTCATCTCCAATCAAGAGTTCAACCACAAAGATTCGGGTAATGACGATTCTTTTCCTTGAGATTTACAGTTCTGCTATTTGTAGAGTGGATTATGTGGTTGTAGATGCTTATTTTCTGAATGAGTATCTCCTTTAAATCAGAAATGCTTTATTTTGGCTCAGAAACCATTGTGAAACAGAGCCATTAAGTTTAAACGACCTGCTTTTAGTATAGCATCACTCACGGTTGCATTGTGTGGGTTGTAGTGGGAATAATTATTTTAAGTCCAGAGCACTGCCAGCCAAATATTCCTATCAGACATTACAAAATTACTTTGGCAATAACTGTTCAGTGTCCCCGGGAGATAAAAATCGTTTGGATTTGCCACAGATTTTGTGCTTCTGCACTGTGACATAAACAATATGCTCGTGCTTTTATTAGAACTGTTGTATTATTATCAGATGTAGACTAAAACATTTCATCATGTGTGGAAGCCTTATCTGAAACCATTTTTTGTAGCAGGCATAGTTTTGACATGTTTTCTTGAGTTGGGGTCCCCTAGGTCTGTTACAACGTAATTAATTTGTCCTCTTTTTAATTAACTTAAATGCAATTCAATTAATTTAAAAATAAATCTTACTTTTTTTTAGAGATGTAAAGGTGCTTGGAACGTTTGGAAACATTGCAATTAATTAGTGAAATTGTTGATTATGAAAGGGCAAGAACATTTTAAAAAAGCATTGCATTGAAAGCAACCCTTTTACTTTCAACGCTACTGTAAAATGCCTGCTGTTAATGTTTGCATATTTTACATTTATTAGAAAAAATAAATGCATTGCATTAAAAGCATTTTACATTTTTTACAAAACAATAAAAAATTATTATTAATATTTTATTTCTAATGTAAAAAGGCAGCTTCTATTTTATGTATATTTATTTATAATGTATATTTGTTGTAACTTTTTTTGAAGGTCTCATTAATTTGTCCTGTTCAATCGGTTTGCTTGCAGCCAGACTGGGGGTATTTTTGGCTGCTTTTGTTTTTGTCATTCTGTCATGTCGATGTGTTGACAGACCCCTGCTTGGAAGAAATGTGTCATGTGAATGTAGACAAAAATCTTGTCACTTTGTATTAACCTCACTAGTCAAATCGAAGGCCTTCCAGCCCACCATTGGCATCCATGGCTGAGCCGTGGGGGCACTAAATGCCACGGCATGTTATTGGACCATCACTGTGAATCACTAGTGCCAGATAAAAGCTGAATAGGGGCTCTTCTGTTATTGTTGGGCAGATTTAAAGCCGAGTGTCGGGTTTCCCTCAGAGGGAAATGTCAAGCAGCTCGCTGTGTTTGGAAAGTGGGAGTAAATTCGCAATTTGCATGAAAAATCTCATCATCGTGAGATAATTGTACGAGAAGGTGATAATCATGCGTGTCTTGATAATAAAATAATGTTTTTGTACTATATTTGCTTATCATTTTGCAGCATTTCTTCCCGTGTTTTTGCTGTCTGCCAAAGCATTGCGATTCTGTAAACAAACCAATTTTCAAATGTCAGATGCTTTGTTTTATACTGAGGCATTCGACATGTCCGTCTGTGATTGCTAATCTTTGGCAAACTCTGGCGGAGGCGAAATTTAAACATTCTGTCAAAAATAAAAAAAAGCAGTAACGTTTCTGTTTCAAATCCAAGATTTTTCTTTATGCGAGTGAACTAAAGGGGCTACACTGCTATAGGTTATTTTGTAAGTGTTTCAACTGAAGCACAGATGCTGTTCAGGGATGGTAGGACAGAGTGCGGTTGTGGATGATGGATGGAAAGCCCTGCACAATCCCATTAACAGTCAACAGATGTCTAAAGATGAGGTGTGCTCAGTGGAGAAAAACCAACACTCACCTCTATGAGCTTGGAGTGCTGTTTTATAACTAAAGACAGACTGACACCCTCACAATTGTCCTTGTCCACTAGAAAACCTATTGGAATGATGGATGGCGAATCACAGGTGAGGTGTCAGATTTCCACTTCAGCTCTAATTAGACTGTATCTCATTTTCACAATCCCATCATCAGACTCCCTACAGACGACATTAGCAGCAGATGATTATTTATTATGCACTGTGCTGTATTCTTTGAAAGGATGGAGAAAGTTTTGCATTGCGGGTAAAAGCAGTCAAAGTAGTGTAAAATAAGCTACTCTACATGCGTATACGCTTTCAATAATTCATGTGTCTCATCATGTCTTTTATAGAAAACACTCTTTACCCCTCAATTTGGCTGGCAGCCATTTTGGCTCAGGAAGATAATAGACTTTTGCTGCAATGGTGTTAACATAGCCAAATAGATGCTACGACAAGTCCAACCGCACTGGCTAATTTACATGATTATTATGTGTCATTCTGAAACTGGGGTAATTGTTGCTGTGGTGGATGAGCGTGTGTTGTTGGGGCCTAAGCTTGAGGGGACTGGGGTCTGAAAAGAGAGAGGTGTGAAAACCAATCTGTCCAATATAAATACATGCTGCAGCTGATGGGTACAAATAAAGAAACCATGTCTATACAAATCATCAAAACACCTCGCCCTAACAGTATTCTTAGTTAAGCATCTTCTATACTCTTAATACTCTTTAATAGTCTCTGGCCAACACAAAGTAGCTGCATGTTTTCTGAATGAATCAGTATTTTTGAACTAACCGGTTCAGTGAATGATTCATTGACTCATTTAGTCTATTTCCATACTACATGTATTCATAAAACAGTAAGCAGAAAGTACCCGGATGACCTGCTTCCGCCGACTTTCTGAAGTGCACATTCAATGACCACTTTAATATCCCATGAGACCACGGGCAAGGATTCGTAAATGGCAGTGAAGCAACGCAACTGATGCAATAGATCACATGACAGGGACAACATGGCCTATGTGATTTGGACGCAGCTATAGTCACTTGTCATTTTGACGCAGCTTGTTCCTGAATGAATCAGTGTTTTTAAACTAATTGGTTGAGTGGATGATTTATTGACTCACTCATAAAGAAAGTCACTTGTTTTGTTTCTGAATGAATGAGTGTTTTTGAACAAAATGTTTTTTTTTTAATAAATAAATTATTCACTTATAAAGACAGTGGCTGTGTCCAAAATCAAATACTCTCTGGGTAGGTAAAAAAGTACATTGTATATAGTATGAATGTAGTGTCGGTGTACCGGATATAGGCTACTACATTCGTCATGTTGTCATTGTCACATAACAAACCCACATTTCGCTTCCTTTTTAACTACTCTTTTCAAATACAGTTTCTCGCCTACTATTCAGTAGTGAAGTGTGCATATTTGGATGCAACCAGTCACTTAGTGTTTTAAATTAATTGGTTCAGTCACTGATTCATAGGCTGCGTCCGAAAACGGATAAATGCTGTCTTTGGAGGACGTATTCCAAGGTCGGAAGGCATCAAGGCACGTCCGAATGCAATGTTAGTTTCACTTCCGGTCTCCTGAGATACCTTCATTTGATCGATTTTTGAAGGCAGCGTAGATCTATCCTTCGCTGCCTTTGGTATCCCACAATCCTGTGCTTGCATTCTGTGACAAAAATAAAGATGGCGTCTGAAAGTTGCGGCTGGTGGTCAATTTGTGTGTAATTGTACATTTTTGATAAACGTTTTCCACTTATGATGTCATTTCTAGCGCTAAATTACTATTGTAGTCATTAAATATTCACTTAATGTTCACCAAAGCTCTCTCTATTTTGCTGTAGATCATTAAACCGTTACGCTGCCTCAGAAGTCTGTCCGAAATCAGTTTCGTGAGGTACCTTCGTTCGCAGACGCTGCCTGCAAAGTCGTTGCCTGATAGGGCAGCGAGGCAACAAGTCAGCTGCCTAAGTTTTCGGATGCAGCCATAGACTCTCTTTTAAAATCTGGCACCTACTGGCATGATGAATAGCCTGCGGAAACACTAGCTGAAAATAATATTATATTATATTAATTATATTTTATATTATATTATTAATTATATTATATGCTATCGATTCCGATTCTTAGCGATTCCCAGTTTCGACTCAATGTGATAGGGTAAAAACATTTATATCAAACATATTTATTCTGTGTCTTTTGGCTAAATATTTTGTTGATTTCCATGAACAAAATTCAGCAGCCTAAGAAAATCAGCAGCCTAAAGATTACTAACATTTTCTTATGGCTTTAATAAAAATACCACAGCAAAAACAACTGGACTAACTAATATAAATTTCAAACATTATTAAAGAAAAGTAAACAATAATAAAATTAAACAAATTAGCAATAGCATTAATAAATACAACTGAAAAAAGTTCAGGTACAGAAATTGTAATCAAATGCAAAATAACATAGTTTTCTTTTAATAAATAAAATATTCTGTAAATATCAGTGTTGTGTTCTAGTGTTCTTTTATGTTTAACCGTGTGGCGCGTGGTTATATCTATACTTGTCTTATCACTATATTTAATAACACACCATGAGACTGTGACTGAGTCCTGTGCATCCTTTTTACGGAACTCTCATACATGACACAGACATGAGCAATCAACAGATGATCAGTCCAACACATAAGTCAACTTAATCAAACACAGAGTATGTCAAACCAAATTGACCACAATCAGTGTGTGATTTTCTTTTTCACCTGTTCTTTGGTTAACGTTAATGACACAGACTCCTGCAGGTTTATTAGGCTGCTGTAACTTTAAAACCTCAGGATCCAAAATACTATTACACGTGTGATATCTTTCTCAACTGTTTTTGTTAACTTAACTCTTTCCCCGCTAGCGTTTAAAAAATATAAAAATTTAAAAAATATAATTTTACAATACAATACCACACCATACCATACAATAAAATACAATATCTTTCAGAATGCCACAGGATGTTTCGATGCTCATCACAGCGATGAGTGAGGACTGATGAGAAACACATTGTGTCCATACAGAAATGCCTGATATTGTTTACCTGAGCAGTATAGCAGCCTAATATTCAGCCTACACCAACTGCATAAGCAGCTGCAGGGTTTTGCTTGACGGATTAATGAAGGGAGG